AACCTCTCAGTCGTCCCTTACAATGGACCCCTTTTTTCATGCAAATTAGCCGAAGGATACCCTTTCTTTGAGTACAAGATTTAAGGAAGGCGTATTTGCTATCAAACAAGTACAAGAAATTATTTTTTCGTGCATGTTTTCCATAAAATATATTTGAATTTATAAAGGCCGTCAAAAAAATTATAAAAAGGCGCACCAGTTAAATAGCCAGTTTTTACAATAGATACGTTTTCCTGGTGGTCAGAGCGAAACTCGTTAAAAAGCCCGCATCCTATCGTGACTGAAATGACTTCAGAATAGACGACACGATAATCAGTACCACAACCTGCGTCAATGCCGATTAGCGAAAGAGTATCAATCTTTCTCATATGTCGGCATGTTGGAAGTGGCGAGCAGATCCCGCGGTAAAAGAATTCGTGAAGTAGAAACATCATGTTTTTGCGTCCTTGCGTCAACTCCAACCAGAAACCTAATCCTAAACTTCACCCTAATGCTCACCGTAATCATAAACCTAATTTTCTTGGCCGACTGCACGCGAAGATCCCAAACCTCTTGAAACTACACAAAACGAAGCCACAGAGAACAGCCAAGCGCAAGCTACGTGGCTGGAATACGGACCTCTACCCGCTGACCGTGAGAACATCCCCCCTGTCTTCTCTGCGCATCACAACCAACGTCCTACCAGCACGAGCGCCCGCATTCAGGAGACGAGGGAAAACCCAGATGCTTAATTACACTCACCCAACTACTAATCCCCTTCCTCTCTCCCCCCCCAACCTGACGATTATATAAACGCTACATGCGTTTCGTTAGCGGTCAGAAAGAAGCTCGTTAAAAAGCCGGCATCCTATCGTTACTGAAATGACTTGAGAATAGGCTACACGATAATCGGTATTTAAACTTTGCTCAGTGTCGATTAGCGAGACAGTATCAGTCTGTGTCAAATGTCGGCATGTTACACGAATTCTTAGCCGTACTGTATAACTGTCGAGAATTCTATCTTGCAGGTGGCTGATGCAGCTAGAAAATGATATTTCTGAGGGGTGCATCACAACATAACATTAAACAGCACTGTAGAGACTGAAGTCTGCGCACAATGCCTGCCTCTCACTCCTGCTGACAAGTGCGGATGCACCAGTTCCTGTCTGGCCAATCACCCCCCTGTGGCTGACTCACGCACGACCTCACTGTAGACGCTTTGATTACACCTACGCCCGCCCCCCACTCCGGCCGCCGAACGGGTGGTTGTACACTCGTCCGACTTTCAATATCGCAGGGGGTTAAGTAAGTTAAACCCTAGCTACTGCGATCTTCAGACCATGGTTACTCAATAGAGAAGAAGTCTGTGGAAGGC